CTCAGTAAATTATTAAACACAAATCGACAGAGAAGAATAAATATGCACTTCTGACTACACATGCATTCGATTGAACAGAGCTAGAAAACTTTGGGCAATTTAAGTTACGTGAATCTACTTTCATTATTACCGTGAATCTGTCATTAAATCAGTTGAATTGACATTTATTCGTGCTAAGCTCCGAATTTTGCGCATACGGTCTTCAATGTTCAGCACGTAGTTGCTTCAGCAAATAAACGAAAATTAGCAAACCTTTCACGGCGATGCGGAATAGCTGAAGAACATATTGGCTGATAAGTTGGTATTTAATTATATGAAGGTAAACAGTGACTTGTGTATATCATTTCTTACTTAATAGTATTCTCTTTATTCTTCTGAAATATATTTGGGGGATCAGATGAGTAACAAGGTTTAAAGATTATCGTTAGAAGCCGAATAGGATTACTTACCGGGATGTGGTCCATAAGGTTTATACAATGTTGGACTAAGTCGCGAAATATTGTTCAGCCTTTTGAAACATGAGAGCAGCAGAACGCTTCACCTAAAGAAACTAGTAAACAGCCAAAATTCAACTGCTGAAAACTGTGCCTAGTTTCAGAAATTATTAATGGATAAATCCAGATGTTTCACTAATTTCGTATACTTTTGACTTGTTACTCAGAGGAAACATCATTTCCTGAGTTTTGCAAAAAGTTTTATTTCAAGCCCTTAAAATTTGGCCTTAATATAAAGTAGCGTCACTATTTAAAAATGTTTTCTGTCTAATGTAACAGACTAAAATAAACAAACACAAAGATTACTAGATGAACAGCCTCTTACAGAACTGAATCTTTCAGTTAATACAGTTGTGGCTATTTACTCTGTACTTCTGAAGGACGTTTCATCGTTATTTCTGACATTATGAGCATGTTCGTCTTCTAGTGAGAACAAAAAGTTTACGTCACTGAATAGTGGTAACAAACTCACTAGTTTTAAGCAGCATGCTTCTGATGATTCAACAGTTATAGCAAAATAAACTAACTACAACCGGGAAGTTTAACTCAAGAAACTTCTAAAGTATGGACAAACTATCAGTGTTTGGTATCTGAATAGAGGAAATCATATAATTGTTGTCGAGTTCAATTACTTACAAAATTCCATTCTTTGTATTACACATATAGGCGTATTATCTTAATGATCCAAACGACTAACATCGACAATTTTATGAAAACCGCTGATCTCTTTTACTTGCGTTCACAAGTAAAGGAGTGAATAAGTTAACTTCTCTTGTCTCACTTCCGATCTAACAAGCATTAACATTATCATCCCCACGTTTAGTTCAGGCTAATCATTTGTGGCTGCAGATTACCTTGTAGATGCGACAATGACCAACTGTACTAACCTGGAAGTTTTCTGTCCCTGAAATGAAGATTACGAAGCTGGAAACAGATTACTTTCCTTTGCCAACTCATAGTCCATCAATCGCACCAAGCAGCCTGTCTTCAGGTGAACAAGTGGATCAAAGTTCTTCAGTTGTTTTATTTAACCTCACAGAAAATTTAATGCCCAACGTTTGGTTATAAATATTTGTTGACGTGTGAATTGCAAAAGTTTCTGCTCAAGGCTGTAAATAAAAAATTAGATTTCCTTCTCTCCAGAATTTTTCGTTTCGGTATGACAAACAACTTGACTTCATTTTCAGTTAAATATTTTCTTCTATGAGCTTCAGTAACGCGAAAACAACTTTGTAAACCTAATTATAAAACTTCAGATCATTTCTTTAAATTTTGCCAGTTACTTATAACCGCAATTAGCTACCAGTATAAATTTAGCAGACACACGGCCGTCCGACAAATCACTTCACGTAAAAAATTACAAGAATGAAAACGGTTAGTGTTTGAGCTTGTAATTTTCCTTCGTCCACTTGACCAAATTGAACACCCAGTCTTGGTTTATGGGTCCCAGTGCCAGTGACTTTGGATTGGCAGTGGTTTCACTTTGATAAGAATGATGAATAGTGGCTAGCAGTGAAATGCAGGAGGTGCATTTAGCCTGTTTGAGACTCTTAAGCTAGATGCAACTGAATTCCAGTGAGTGATTTTGTTCCCTCTCGGACTAGAACTCATCACTCATCTTTTCGATAACCAGACCGTTGTTACTAGGCTACTGAGCCACGACAGACACTTCTTGAGAGATAGTTTTATTTTCGCTTCTATGATTTGCAATCATGTTTTAAACCAGATTTGGTAGACAACGACAGTGCCCCCCCCCCAATTCTCGATGAAAAAGGGCATAGAAATCATTTTCGCTGATCACAAGCAGCACTACCAAAGCCTCAACCATGTGAAAACTGTTGAATCATCCTTCCTTAGTGTTTCGTTTGTGCAGTTTGTGCATAGCAATCAAGCTGGATGAAGCCGCAAGAAGGGATTCATAGTGGTATTGCTGAACAAGTGCTCTGATTGGCTCCACCATATGCCGTATCCTATGTCACTATTTTACCTTATCGATCAAGAGAAAACCCTGAATGTGCCTTAGATTTATTCACCAACACTAGCACTGATTCTTATTTGGCATGAAACGCAAAGAATCATTCTTGCTGACAATGAATCACCACAGCATTTCAAAATACAAAGCCAAAAGGATTTTGATGGGGTTGTGTTATCTGAGCTTGATAGTTTTAGTTGTGAAGACTTCATTATCATTCTAGACAATATCATCAGCACAACCCTCGGAAAGAAGTGGGCTGTAGGGTTACCTCCACGATTGGCTAAGTAGCTTGTCCTCATGGCCTTGAGTGTGGTTTGTTTCTCTGTTTCTCTTGTCATTGTCTGCACACTTATTTCGATCTGTTGTCCTGCTGACATGAACTGTGACCTTTTTATTGTTTCTTATTGTTTGATAGATTATATCAGTGTTAGTATGTCTGTCGGTCACTGACCTGAAGTCCAAGCTTTTAAAAATTCTCTGGCATTCTTTGTATTTCCTCTTTCCAGGATTTCCACATTTTCCCAGTTAAATTCATGTCCACAATTATCCGTCTGTATTGATATAAGCGATGATCTGTCCTGACGCTCCACTGTTAGTTAGTGTTCACGTGGACAGATGCGACGATATTGTTTTGCTTAGAGACAAGCACCTGCTTTTTCATTACTTAATGATTATCCTGCCAATCGTAGTTTCCTTAGCATGTTTAGTTTCTACTCTGAATAACGCAATGAGAACACTGTTTGCAGAATAAGACGACGTCATTTATTTCATAGGATTCACTTCAAATGCAAATAGCAAATAATTGCTATAACAAATATAAAAATACCTCGTATGAAGCGATTCACGATATTATTTAATGTTTCAAACAAAAGGAAATCATAATGATTCAGGTCATAAAGTAAGTTCAGGTAATAAGTTCAGTCAAATAAAATAAGGGTAAGGTGAAAAATGTTCGTGAATGAGTGAGATAAGACTAGTGGTAGGTAGAAGGGGTTGCGCAATCATGTGAAAATATCATGTTGACAAAATGATAATTGGGTGAGATAAAACTGTCGTAATATTAGCATATATCGTAATAATGAAACGCTAATCAATATGAATGCGGATATGAATAAGCACAAAATAAGTTGATTAGAAAAAATTGGGAAAGAGGGTCAAAAGTCACTAATTACCAAGGTAATAATAAATTAGTAATTGTCTCCTTCTGAACACACAGTTCCGGCTGAACTGGTCGGATAGCTTTGGCAATTCGAAGTAAGTACGACATCGTTTGTTTGTTGACTACTATGAAGGATTATTTGGTATCTACCTGGTGTCCCGTATCCGTTAAGTGATGATCTGTTGCACTGCTGAATGAGGTGAAACCTCTGACACACCGAATCTTTGGCATGTACTCGGCAATCCTAGTAGACAACCAACCCTCTGTTCTTCCTATCTACTTGTACCATATGTACATGTGAAGTGATAAATATAACTGTAGTCTACGCTTTGAAATGCATAAAAGTAGTCAGTGAACCACTAACTTCTTTTTGTTACGTTTGTTCTCTTTCATTTTTCTCAATTTATTCATAAAGGCGTATCTATCTACATAGTAGTAAAACATTTTAAGTACACCTCGAGGAAACCCAGTTTCTCTGAGGGAAAATTTCTCCACTATTGTACTTAAACATGTATTTCTTAAGAGATGAACAAATTGTCATTCAAGTTTTTCAGCTGTACTGTTTCACATGCGTATTATTTTGCATTTTCCCGTCATATATATATATATATATATATATATATATATATATATATATCACATTCTGTCATGTTACTTTTCGCTGTGTTTGTTGGTTAACATCGTGGGTACAGCTATAAGCATGTATGTATATGTGCAAGTACATATATATGCATATATTCTTGTGCATACTAGGTTATAAGTAAACATATTTTCTGTCAAAGCCGTATATCTATGCCTCTTTGTGCACACCAACAACGTATTTATATTTATGTGCATATGAGTGGACAATTACTACCCAGTATGGATTATCTAAACTAAGCTATCAGCTGTTGCATTTTAACATTGTTTTCCTTCTCTCGTATAAGCTTTCTTCAACTGTATTTAATATTGTTGGGATAGATATAATTTGACATCTGATTCCTGCTTCCTCTCTTAATCTAACTTCAGTCCATTTAAGTAATGATAATAAATAATACTATCACAAATATTATCAACTGTCATATTGAAAGGGGTTATTATACTGACGTACTGAACGCTTAAAAGTAGACGACAAACTCAGATAATTTAGTGTATCTAGAATATGTGTACGTAAGTGCAGATGTGTGTTTATGTGTCTAAATGTGTTCATGCAGATAAACTGTCCCATCTTTTTTCTTCTCTATCGCTCTCTCTCCTTTCATCCTGTTATCTTTGTATTTCTTTCTTTCTTTCTTCTACAATGACTACTGCCCAATAGAACTCAGAGAGGAGTTATTCTAAAAAATGAGCAACATATTTACAATTTTATTTATTTATGAGACACTGGGTAACATTTATAGATGTGAATAAAAGAAGGTCAACAATATTACGATGATCACTTTTATGAACGCATATTATCACTGATTCTTATCGATAGCATTGTGTTTGCGTAAGTATTTTATCAGTAATTCACTTGTTGTCTACATAATCATGAGGAGATAAACACCGGATGTCAGTCTATGTTAACAAATTAATTAAATTGGTAAGTGATCAGTATCAGGATGCATGCATATATATATTTTGAATCAGTAGTAAATCATGTCATAATCTTTAAAGGGTTTAAATTGATGAAACTAATAATATTACTTCTGGTGTGTTGCTGAAAGTCTAGTCCAGGCTTCGATGGTCTGGATTTCTGGCTGTCTAAAGCAGTACCAATAAACGGTATATAACTTACTTTACTGCACTATCGACAATCAACAATATTTTTGTTATCTGCTAAACAAATGTGTAGCTGAAAAGATTATTGATGTGAGTGGAAGCGTTAGTCGGTTGGAGGCAGTTGGCAAACAGAGCCCTGCATAAACTAAGCTTCATGATTATTGACACGCGTCAGCAAGATGTCTCTGCATCTTCAAAAGGAATGATGTCTCCTCATGGATTTAAATCGGTTTCACCCAGTCCTACAGTTACAGACCTTACTACTGAGCTGTTTGGGCTGTAACTGACTTTTTGTACGACTGAATCAGGCATAGTTATTGGTCACAACAGACTGACCGATTTCATGGTGTCTCATCCTGATCGAGTACTATCAGTCATTTTATTATGTGATCACCAGACTCACAGACTCACCATGACGGTGTACCCTGACTGTTGTTAGACGGCTAGTTACGATCGACAGTGGTTACCAGCACTGAGCCTATTTCTATACTGCTGAGCAAAGCATTCTAACACAAACTTTTTGTTATACACAGGTGAAATGCTTTCTCCCCTATAAATAACATCAGTTGTATATAAAATGCTAGTTTTCACAGTATAACTGTAAGAAACATGATTACCAAATTTACTTCACTCCTTTTAAAATAACATTAGAGCAATAGTTATTTCATTACCGACAAAAATATACTGTTGTAATCTTAGACTTCGTGCCGAATCATATTTACCCCAATACTATGCTTAACTGGTATGTCTTGATGCCATCTACGTAATAGCCAAAATATGGTATCTGTGACTGTCTTTCTGTCACATAAAAAAGACAGTGACATCTGAAAAAAACAGACTGAATTATTTCAATGGGTATTTATCAGACTATATGATTTTTCATTTGCCCCAGTGTTTGTAGGTGACTAGTGTTGTATTCTGCTTCCAAGTGCTCAGCGCTGGTCACAGGCTGTTCAATAAATCATCACCAAAACTTTTATTTTCCTTGTCTTCCGGCTCAAATGGTACAGCATTTGGTCGTTAATTAGGTGTCCGCTTGCATAAATCCTGTCATGAAATAGGCTTTCATTTTACCACAATCAAAACCCCGCAACATTTTCAGAGTCAAGTTTATTTGACAAAGTTTCACTTATTACTTATCAACTGGATATGACAGGAAAACTTAAACAGGTATGAAAGTAATACATAGAATGCCATTTCCAGCGACTCAGTAAAACGCTTTGAAGATGAGTTAAATACTCAGAATATATTCACAAGAAATGGTCCTAAAGTACACAATAAAAATTATTAACTTTACAGTCGACTTACAGTTCAAAATCAGGTGAACACCTTGAGTATATTTTCAAGGAATTATGGCAGCAAAAAGATTCATGCTGGCACCTAAGACCATTGTAATCAAAAAAGCACTCAACTGCCCATGGTTAAAAAAAGGTATGCATAAAGCAGAAAAAATTATTGGTGAAATTTCTTTCGTACTAACCTTATTGACTACATTCTGCAGATATTTTCTGAAAATTTTTTATAGGGAAGGTAAGGTCTTCTAAATATCTTCAATTTGTGGCGAATCATTCTTGTCACATGTGTAAGATGTTGATTAGATTAAAAACGATCCTGTAATCAGTTTCCCGCTCTACCCACCTATATTGAGTCGTATAAATGTCCTTCTATCCCCTATGTGGTGTGATTATGAATCAGTGAATTTATAGTGATAACCGAGTGTTCTAACAAGTTATTTATCTTTGTAGAGTTGACCGTAATATATTTCTCCAAGCTTAAGTGGTTGGCTACTCTAACCTATGTACTCGACCTCACAAATATAGCATGATATTACATGAATTACGTTAACTTACTTCACTTGGCTTACCAGATACATAAGTCTATAAAGTTTCTCTTCGAGGGAGTTTGTGGTTTTAGAGACAACTCTAATATCCGCACTGTTAAGAATCTTAAATCATTTCTCATATCCCTTCTTTATAGGGTAACAGTGAAAAAGATTTGAATTCCATTCTAGACATGTTGCTTTTAAGATAGACAGAAACGATTCCTCAAACTGCAAATACTTGGAAGATTTCATTACCATTAGAGCGAAAAAATGAAGAGCTATTGTATTATAAAAATGATATTTGAAGGTTGTGTAGTTACTTCGGTGTATTTATTAGCAATAACTTATGCTCTAGACGTCATCTAATAAACAATAATATAGCCCTGTGTACTAAACCAAATATTCAACCAGTTATTTCTTGAAACTACAACAAAAATGCAATTTATTAGTATAGGAACAAACTAGTAGTTATCTGAGCATTAAATGTGGTACTTTTAAGAAAAGTAGGTCGTTTATTAGTGCATACCTTAGGAAAGAAGCTTACCTAATTGTATTATTTGTTGTTTTGACTACTGCGAATGTTCACCTCCTGCTTTTCTAAATTACTCTTTTTTAACCATAAATGGGTTCTTATTTACATTTCTATTCACTTGTTCAGTAAGGATTAACTTCATCGTTTGAACTGGACTTTAATCGACACATTCTTTTGTATTTAGTCGGAGAGTAGTTTTCAATATTAAATGTCATTAACTAGAGAACTGAAGGAAAATGAGAGATACTGTGAAGCTGTTAATTATTCTAAAACATCAGAATAGTGTGATACCTTAATAATATATGAAATTAGGAAACTGAAATTCCTTAGAGAAAGGCTGTGACATAAACCATATCTGAAATGAAGGTAGATGTGATTCAATGACAATGAATAGTGATTAGATCAAATCAAAACTTACATATATATAGTCCATAATTAGGAAGCAATAGTGGTACAGTTATCCCTGGTTTTCAATATTTCTTGGGGTGATACAAATTCATATTGATAACCATCCTCATATTATTTAACTACCCAAGAATTATTTTACTGCAAAACATTAATTTTACCTATTTTTACATAATACGTCATTTATCACAGTGTTTACAAAAAGACTTACAGATTGATGTTGTATATTTTGTAACGTTATCATCAAGCAAAGGGATTTACATTCACGATGCATCTTCAGTAATCTCAGTTGGTATGCGTTAATGGGCTGGAGGTGCTGGATCCAAGTATTATGATTGGTTGTTTTAGTTAGCAAGGTTTATGACATAGCCTTAAAAACGAAACGTTGTGCCTCAGTCCTACATTTAGAGATGACGGAGTTGAGCTACTTTGGCTTAGACTGACCTAAGTGGAAGTAAATTATGGTACTGAGTCTGTTTGTTTACTGATAACAGTCCAAAATTATTTATCAGCTCTTAGAACTAGACTTCATGAAACTGAGTACTCCCTAGTGATTAATGTAGACAACTAATACTTATAAATCTTATATTTGAAATACTTATAAGCTTCAAACGATTGAATGGATTGTTAAGGCGAAAAGAATTCTCGAGTGTGTTATCAGCAGACAGTTAAAATATGTTAAGAAATATGAGATAATGAAGTATCAGTACTCAGTTTACTGCTATTTCGCAATAAACCGAAACTTCTCCATATTTTTTAAAGTAAACAACTCAAATGCAATATTCACTTTTTTCCATAAACTACTACGAAAAACGTATTTTCCTGTCATGCAGAATGTTGGACGGTTGGATGCACTATCATGAACACAGTATGTGTGAGAAGCCATTTCTGCTTAGATTATCGTTTAATTCTCAGTGTAAAACTAATTATTATTTACAGAAATAATCAAAAAATATATAGATATTTGCCAAACTTTCAGATTTAACTTTCCAGACAAGATCTTAGCTACTTATCAACCGGGGGATCATCCCCAGAAGTGTAAAACTACTCAAAGTACATATCATGGACTAGCTTAGTAATCTTTTGTTTCATGAACAAGTCATGATCTGAGAGAGTTGGTTGTTACACCGGTACCCGAAGCACTGATTGACGCCAGATCCAATCTTATTGTATTTTGAAATCCTTCAACTGTTCATATTTGATACTAATTCTTTACTACGAAAAAGAACCTCTTAGCTAACGAAGATCATGAAGAATTATGCACTTTTCTTATGGGAAGTGAATGCCATAACTATTTGAAGCATATTCACGTTCACTTACATATAACCAGTACGGCATAACATTCGATAGGATATAAACCAGAATATTTTCATGACCAGTATAATTATAGATTTAGTAAAACGAAAACACATCATAAATAATTACTCCGAGTTAAGCGCTGTAAACTGATAGGGAAAATATTGCCAATTGGACATTGTATCTTAAAGTAAAATAATTACAGGTTTCATATACTGTTGGGAAATTTTTGAACTCTACTTATCATACAGTTTCTACATCTCATAAGAATAAATTCCATTTTCCCCCTCCTTTAATACCCAATAATCATAATTATTACTTACAATGTGATGGTTGTTTTCACGGCAAACAAGAGAATAAATAATTCTCATATTATTTAGCGTTCAACAGGCAGATATCTACACATATGGTATACAAAAAATTACACAAATAACATTGTAGTGTTAACGTTAGAATGTCGACACTTATTCTGTTGAAAACTTCTGAAAAGAAGTAAATAGCCATCCGAAAGATGCTTTTGAATGCACTTTGCTATGGTTTTACTACATTCAAATTTAAGACAGTGGAAGATGTCCATAAGTTCATAAAGAGACAGTGGGCGAATCAGGAAATTAAATTTTCTCTTCTTACGACGTCAGTTTAAACAGATGCTCGATCATGTATATTTGACAACTATAAAGCAGTCTACTGTTAGGTAACTGGGGGGATTGGCGCCATTAGCACGATGTTCAATCTAGTTTTTGTCAATTAAAAAAGATCTTGTAAC